CCATACTGTAATCCCAACAGTTGCAGCATATTTGGTGGGTAAGATCACATTTTGTTTCATAACTCTTTCCATAATCAGGTACATAGAAATGGCTTTAGTTCCATGTTTTAATATTGTGGCTTAACAGGCACAGGAAGAGCCCAATTCTTCCTTCTGCCCTAGGGCGCGTGTGCTGATGCACAGAAGCCCCAACACCGCTGGATTTGGTTAACTGGGCAGGCTCCAGGACGTGGCTCAGTAGCTCGTTTGCTGCTCTCTATGTAAAGAGCAAGTCTGCACATTGGTATCTTTATGGTGTCACTTATTTCAAGTACTCTCCCTTCAATCAGTGGCATGTGTAACGAGCAAGTGAATCACCTTACCTGGAAGAACAATGTCCCAGGGTGAACTCAGCCTGGCAGCAGCAGCACTGGACAGTACAGTTCCTGGGAGACCATGTGATACAGGCCAACGAAGCCCTCTCCAGAGGCAGCCAGTTTGGAAAGGGAAAAATGGCTCCACAGACATCATGTGATAAGGGCAGACGAAGCCCACTCTGAGAGAGGAGCCCAGAGGCTGAGAGAGAGCTTGGGCACAGCATCTCCTCCTCAGCACTGCCAGAGCCTGAGGAAAGCGGGGGCTGCGCTGCAGGCTGGAGGGTTGGGAAGCCCAGCCGCAGTGCCTCTCTTGCTTCTTTTCCCCTGGGAGCCCTGCCTGAGCTGCTCGGAGGAGCACCTGGCCCCTCTGGAGACCCTCCAGTGAGGAGGACTCTTCTCCAAGCCCCTGGGTGGGGAGCACAAGGGGAGGGGGCTGGAAAGAGATTGATCCAGTTGCCCGTGAGCTCTGGTGGGAGGCAGAGCTAGGGGATGTGAGCCCTCCTCATACAGGGCAGGGCCCCGTGAGAAAGAGTTAAGACCCAAAGGAGGGGGTGAATTTAGCTGCCTGGCAAGCTGGTGTGTGTAGGTGTAGGTAGGGGATTGCCAGAGTTGCAGCCCAGACCCTGCTCCCTGTGTGTCAGGGGACGAGGATCTGGGCAGGGTACACTATTTTACAGAAATTTTGGCAAGGGAGCACCGGCCTGCCGCACAGCAACTGCTGAGGCATGCCTTGAGACATGGGCGCCTTGTGCCTCCTGAGTCTGGGGACGCACCCGCAGAAACTGCCGGTGGCATTGGCAGCAGGGCCAGAGCTGGCAAGCATGCACACACGCCACTGGCGGGGTCAGTTGCAGGGACGGCCCTGTCAGCAGGGGCATGTGCTCCCCTGTGCCTCCCCTACACATCACCTTTGCCTTGAGAGACCCTCACAGCAAGGACCTACCCACGCTTCCTGCAGGAGGGGAACTGAAGCAGCTAATACACATATCAGCTGAAGTCATCATCGTGTACAACATTATTGGCTGAGGGTGTGAACAAGTTTCTGACAGTTTAACAGTTGTGTATTAATTAGTTTCTTTTTCTTTAACCCTTTGTAAATAAAGTATACATAGTTGTAAATTGTGTGGTGTCTAATCAAAGGTCCAGGGACACTAGGTGCCTACCTGTGCTCCAGGAGGGCAGGCGAGTCCACGCTGTGGGCACCTCCAGGGATCCGGAGTTGGGTTGTGGCTTTGCAGGTAGCCCTGCAGCCAGGGTTACACATGTATCAACCCCAGCCAGAGCTAAGGTTTTTACCATCCAGAACTACAGGATTCCATACCAGGCAATGATTCTGTTTGGATACAAATACTCAAAACCCGGCAACATGACAACAGAGCCACTGAACAAACTGTAATGAGCCTTTTCATTGCTGGAAAACAATTCCAGGGGTATCCATGCTGCTAAAGAGGGGACTGCCAGTATTCATAAAAGGACTTGTCTGCTTAAATTCAGAATATAAACACTTTCAATCTTAAGTAGCAGATGTCTAATTACAATATTAGTAGGTAAAAAAAAAATAAACAGTGATTTAAAGTAATCTCTCTTGCTTTCTATTTACAATTACTTTGTACATACAAGGACCCTGCTGTAGGTTCAAATTAAAGGTGGATAGAAACTAGCTACAGAGTTGTTAGACATTTCCAAGCACTAACTTTAGAGCTAATTGGTAGGCCTGTGTGAAGCGGCTAGTATTCGCTTCGGATTTGGATTCAGATTCGGCCGATTTGGGGAACTGTGATTTGATTTGGTGATTCGAATCACTGTCCCAGATTGATTTGGCCAAATCTGATTTGGAGATTCAGCTGTTGCCAAATCTTTGAATCACCCAGGCCCATCCCCCACCCACTCTCCCAACTGGGCAATGGCTGCCCCGCCTGCCCCAGCTCCAGGCACTTTGGAAAAAAAGCCCTGACTCAGCGGGTGCTGCCAGGCAGGGGGCTATCCCCGCTGACCCCCACTGCCACACGCTGTGTGGGGGGCTCTACCACAAACCCCCCTGACTCCCCCCCGCTGTCCCAGCCCCCCATGGCTGCCCCACTCACCACAGCTCTAGTCCTTTAAGGAAAACCCCCCCCAAAAAACCTGGGATTCTGGTTCCTGCCTGGCCAGGGGGGGAGCATCCCCACTGCCCTGCACTGCCCCACGCCATGTGGGGGGCTCTGCATAAGCCCCCCAAAGCTCCAAGGCTACTGCAGGAGCTGGTGAGATTTTTTAGGGTTTTTTTCTTAAAGGGCTGGAGCTGGGGCTTGCAGGGCAGGGCAGCACATGACAGAGGCCCCCCACACAGTGTGGAACAGTGGGGGGCAGCGGGGATTGCGCCCCCTGCTGGGGAGCACCCAATGAGTCTGGGCTTTTTTTTAAAGCACTAGGAGCTGGGGGGGCGGG